GATCTGAATATCTATATATATAATATAATCATATTTAACTTTATTGCTAATATCAGCCGATACCAATACCATGCCGATAATAGTGTGCATCCCTATGTGAAGTTCATTAAGATAACCAATTACTTCTAATCTAGGAAATACAATTTGAATATTTGCCTTAATTTAACTTTAACATTTCGTTAATCTCTTCAGTCAAAAAAATGTTCTAAAATGTTTCTAAACTATAAATTGTATTTATCTCTTTAAATGCTTTGCTAATGTTATAGCAGTAGGAAATGCTTAGGGTCTTCTACGCCTTCAGAGAAGGCCTAAGCGTTCCACAGATCTAGAATGTTACTTTTTTATTTCATATGAAATGTATATTTATTAAATGTAGTTTTTATTTTATTTTAGCCTAATTCTCTTATTTTATGTAAACTTGTTTGGAGCTGCGCAAGAAACGTTTTGATTTCATGAAAATACGCTCACTGAGATCAGATTCTTTAAAATGTCTGTCTCCGGGCTGAAATATGTTTGAAGGTTCTTCCTCGTTGGACTTCACTGTCAGGAGAGAAGGCTCAGCTCAAGCTCTGCAGGAGGAGTTTGTTTAATAACTGACAGGAACTGTAACCAATCGCAGCGTTGCTGTAGAGTGGGTGGAGCCTAAACTTTAGACTATGAGCCTTCGGGAATCCCCTGCCGTCATTTAAAAAAAATTATAAAATTGTTTTGATCGTGTGAAGATTTTTATTCAATTGCAACTTGTAAACTAATCCACACTGAAATTGTAGTAGCTTTAAAATATGAAGTTAAAATTACATGTAGGTTCACATTGATCATTTTTAGTCTTAGTTTTTTTGGTTTCATTATAGGAAATTATTTTAGAGAAACAGTAAGTTCTGTGGATTACTGTCACATTACATTATTGTTATAACTGAATGCAATAGGCTGGGTGAGCCGCAGAGGCTGCTGGGTAATCTTGGGACAGAATCAGGATTTTGTCAGGTTGCGTTCAGATGGGTCGTCCCTCTTGGTTCTGTTTAGTGTTGGGTTGACATTTGTGTTCCTGTTGTTGTTAGTGACTAAACATATGACACCATGAGTGTATTGTATCGGCTTTATAAAAAAGAAAATGAAAAGGACAAATGCACTTCCTGGTCAGGGAGGGACTGAACCGTAAAACTGAAAGTAAAGTGGCTTAGTATTTTTCACATTAGCCTTTATCAGGTTGCTACATTGCATCGTAGCTGAAGACCCAGCGATCGAGGGTTCTTCTCTCGCTCCCATGTCTCTAGAATTGTAACACCAACGAGCCATCCATTATCTTTACTCGCTTCTTCCTTTCTAGGTCACGGGGTCACTGGTGCCCATGTCCAGCAGTCACTGTGCAAAGGTCGGTGACAACCTGGACAGGTTTACAGTCATTACAGGGATACATAGGGACAAATGAGAAAACCATTCACTCTCTCACTCGGAGATGGGGTAAAGGCAGGGCAGCTGACTTGGGACCTGAAAGTCCCAGGTTCAATCCCCAGCCATTCCCACCGAGGAAGTCTGCGGACCCATCAGAGGGACCCAGCTGAATAAACATTATGTCATCATTTCAGGACTCTTGGATTCTCTCTGGCGCTGCTCTAGGTCGACCTCGGCACACCTCGAGAGTGTTTACGGGTCTCA